TTACTGTGGCTATCAAGGTTACGTCAACCCTCGGGGACTAACAAATACACCAGCAGATGTAACATCAACTGACAATGATATTGATACTACACCCGTACCTTCTAACAATAGATCAGGCAGTGGTCCTACCTCTGTTAACAAACTGTCAATGATATTTATACTACAGTCGTACCTTCTAACAATAGATCAGGCAGTGGTCCTACATCTGTTAACAAACTGTCAATGGTATTGATACTACAGTCGTACCTTCTAACAATAGATCAGGCAGGGGTCCTACCTCTGTTAACAAACTGACAATGATATTGATACTTCAGTCGTACCTTCTAACAATAGATCAGGCAGTGGTCCTACCTCCGTTAACAAACTGACAATGATATTGATACTACAGCCGTACCTTCTAACAATAGATCAGGCAGTGGTCCTACATCTGTTAACAAACTGTCAATGGTATTGATACTACAATCGTACCTTCTAACAATAGATCAGGCAGTGGTCCTTACCTCTGTTAACAAACTGACAATGATATTGATACTTCAGTCGTACCTTCTAACAATAGATCAGGCAGTGGTCCTACATCTGTTAACAAACTGTCAATGGTATTGATACTACAATCGTACCTTCTAACAATAGATCAGGCAGTGGTCCTACATCTGTTAACAAACTGTCAATGGTATTGATACTACAGTCGTACCTTCTAACAATAGATCAGGCAGGGGTCCTACCTCTGTTAACAAACTGACAATGATATTTATTCTACAGTCGTACCTTCTAACAATAGATCAGGCAGTGGTCCTTCCTCTGTTAACAAACTGTCAATGGTATTGATACTACAATCGTACCTTCTAACAATAGATCAGGCAGTGGTCCTACATCTGTTAACAAACTGTCAATGGTATTGATACTACAATCGTACCTTCTAATAATAGATCAGGCAGTGGTCCTACCTCTGTTAACAGACTGACAATGATATTGATACTATAGTCGTACCTTCTAACAATAGATCAGGCAGTGGTCCTTCCTCTGTTAACAAACTGTCAATGGTATTGATACTACAGTCGTACCTTCTAACAATAGATCAGGCAGTGGTCCTACCTCTGTTAACAGACTGACAATGATATTGATACTATAGTCGTACCTTCTAACAATAGATCAGGCAGTGGTCCTTCCTCTGTTAACAAACTGTCAATGGTATTGATACTACAATCGTACCTTCTAACAATAGATCAGGCAGTGGTCCTTTCCTCTGTTAACAAACTGACAATGATATTGATACTATAGTCGTACCTTCTAACAATAGATCAGGCAGTGGTCCTACCTCTGTTAACAAACTGACAATGATATTGATACTATAGTCGTACCTTCTAACAATAGATCAGGCAGTGGTCCTTACCTCTGTTAACAAACTGACATTGATATTTATTCTACAGTCGTACCTTCTAACAATAGGTCAGGCAGTGGTCCTACCTCTGTTTACAAACTGACAATGATATTGATAATACAGTCATACCTTCTAACAATAGATCAGGCAGGGGTCCTACCTCTGTTAACAAACTTACAATGGTATTGATACTACAGTCGTACCTTCTAACAATAGGTCAGGCAGTGGTCCTACCTCTGATAACAAACTGACATTGATATTTATTCTACAGTCGTACCTTCTAACAATAGATCAGGCAGTGGTCCTACCTCTGATAACAAACTGACACTACGAGCTGCTGAAGGAGGCTGTGATGTTTCGATATAGACATGTTCTTCACAGAGTCAGTGATTGATCACTAAGCAAGATAATTGGATCTGTGAGTTTCATGGATGGTTTGAGAGGAGTTCCTCTACCCAGACATTCTCATTTCCTAAGACAATCAGCCATGAGTCCTTGTGACAGATTGGCTACGGCATTGTAACCTGCTGCCGTAGTGCTCAGTGTCATATGAAGCTCATTCTCTATTGATACATTCCTCGGATAATTTGTGTTTGTGTTATATTCTCATATGGAATATTTCAATCTTAATCCTGAAAGGACACCAGAATAATGTAAGTTTGTTTCCTGATTAACATCTAAATATAAAAGTATTTATTTAATTGGTACAAGGCGTAGCTTTGTAGAGGGCTGTACTGTGTATAATGTTATTGGAGGCAGGAGACATATCCCTAGTATTTCTATGAAAGTACCATCAGATAACAAGTCAGAGCTATCACCATAGGAATATCAACCATGGTAACCATAGCAATCTACTGTAAGGCAGCACTTGGACCCAGCAGATGAAAAGGTTTATCAGTAAAGGTTTTTCATCCATCTGCGAAATTGTCAATATTTTTATGCAGTTTCTCTTATCCAAGAAATGAAATATTGTAATAAATTTGACATGCCAAAATCTAACTTTCACAATTTGTGTGTATTCAATATTGAATTCAGTATGTAAATTCAATATTGTGTGTTCCCCAGTGCCATTTACTTTGTACCACTGACCTTTTGTCAAGATGCAGTTCTGTAAAGGAAGCTGGGATCGTTCTGTTGCTGTTTGTACAAATGTCTGGCTCTAACTGTAACTAGAATGTTAAGTATGATATATCTTGATTTTGATTGTTTCTTTTCTGATAGTGGCTAGCATTAAACAGTGAAGAATTATAAGAAGATGTGGCTAGCATTAAACAGTGAAGATTATAATAGGATGTAGTGGCTATCATTAACAGTGAAGATTATAATAGGATGTAGGGGATAGCATTAACAGTGGGGATTATAATAAGATGTAGTGGAGAGCATTAACAGTGATGATTATAATAGGATGTAGTGGCTAGCATTAATCAGTGAAGATTATAATAGGATGTAGTGGCTAGCATTAACATTGAAGATTATAATAGGATGTAGTGGCTAGCATTAACATTGAAGATTATAATAGGATGTAGTGGCTAGCATTAATCAGTGAAGATTATAATAGGATGTAGTGGCTATCATTAACAGTGAAGATTATAATAGGATGTAGTGGATAGCATTAACGGTGGGGATTATAATAAGATGTAGTGGAGAGCATTAACAATCGGGATTATAATAGGATGTAGTGGATAGCATTAACAGTGGGGATTATAATAAGATGTAGTGGAGAGCATTAACAGTGATGATTATAATAGGATGTAGTGGCTAGCATTAATCAGTGAAGATTATAATAGGATGTAGTGGCTATCATTAACAGTGAAGATTATAATAGGATGTAGGGGATAGCATTAACAGTGGGGATTATAATAAGATGTAGTGGAGAGCATTAACAGTGATGATTATAATAGGATGTAGTGGCTAGCATTAACAGTGCAGATTATAAAAGGATGTAGTGGCTAGCATTAACAGTGAATATTATAATAGGATGTAGTGGCTAGCATTAACAGCGAAGATTATAATAGGATGTAGTGGCTAGCATTAAGCAGTGAAGATTATAATAGGATGTAGTGGCTAGCATTAACAGCGAAGATTATAATAGGATGTAGTGGCTAGCATTAACATTGAAGATTATAATAGGATGTAGTGGCTAGCATTAAGCAGTGAAGATTATAATGGGATGTAGTGGCTAGCATTAACAGTGAAGATTATAATAAGATGTAGTGGAGATCATTAACAATGGGGATTATAATAGGATGTAGTGGATAGCATAAACAGTGGGGATTATAATAGGATGTAGTGGCTAGCATTAACAGTGAAGATTATAATAAGATGTAGTGGAGAGCATTAACAATGGGGATTATAATAGGATGTAGTGGATAGCATTAACAGTGGGGATTATAATAAGATGTAGTGGAGAGCATTAACAGTGAAGATTATAATAGGATGTAGTGGCTAGCATTAACAGTGAAGATTATAATAGGATGTAAGTAACTATCGAACCTCAGATACCTCTGACACTGTTAGTCCTAATAAAATACTACCGTATACCTGACAGTGATAGCGCTGATGGCATGGTTACAGGACAATGTTACTCTTAATGAAATGCTATATACCTCGTAATTAGCACCTCTCTTACTAGCTTCACTGTATCCAAATCAAGACTACCCAAAACGGGACGCTTGTGGGAAAACGGCCCAAGAAATGTTCATTCAATACAACGAAGTACTTGGATGTATACAGTTTTCATCTGATAATACCTTTATGACAATTAAACTGTATTAAGCTTTAATGGCTGATGATTATCTTCACATGGAAAATTTAAAGGTAAGAACAATGACCTTAACAAAACTTTCCTGATTTACGTGCCGTGCGATGCTATTTATTTGAATATCATTTTCAAAAGTCTACTTTATCAAAACTAATGCTAGTTTGGAGAAGAAATATAATCAGAACCCTCGTTGACTCTAGAATATATCAATTATTTAATATTTTCTGGCGATATTGATCGTTTATCCCCAAATATTCACCAAAATACCAGAAGTGTCCCCATTCAGGGTACAGTCATGACGGCTCAAGATGCCTACGTAACTCTGATGGTATTTTGCATTCTTTTCATAGAACCACATGCCCGAAATATTAAATTGGGATAGAAATGAAAAGTGGACAGTACTATTTATGAAAAAAGAACAATCATTTTTGGAATTGAAAGTATGGTATAAAGAACATTGATATTTATCTAAAAAGTGTCCCAATTTGGGTACAGTGACGTTAGATCTGGCGATCATGGCTGATCCTCCTGTGAAGCTGATGAAACATTTAATTTAAAAACCTCCAGCCACACTGGAATGTTCAAATCTTTTTCAGTGATAAGATGATGATAACAAGGGTAACAGTTGCACATTTGTTTTTCATAGCTCCCCCCCCCCCTGCGCACACACACACTTTAGACAAGTTTTTAAACTCCCTGGGTGCTAACTACAGCAAATATGGTACTGCAGTATACCTGACAGTCTAAATCCTAATGGAATACTGCAGCTTACATGACAAATCAAAATAAACTAACGTTATTCCTACATAAAGACCCTAGAAACCTTAGTGAGGGCTAACATCCCGTTATATATACTTTCAGGTGGCTGTGATCCTAATTTACGTCCCCACAACCTGCTGCTATGTTCCCCAGTATGCAACCAGGATAACGCCTATTGCAATGACACAAATTACTGTGCTTGTAAAGACGGATATATTGCTTACTACAAGGGGGAGTCACTCTTTGGATGTTTCATGGACAACCAGACAATGGTAGGAGGTCAATCCTCTGATGACAAACCAGGTGAGTTTAATCTAAATAGAGCAAAATTAACATAAATATTGATAAATATATAACTCCTGGCTATTCTTCTGTTGTAAGTACTATCCTACAAACAACTCTGTTAACAGCACAAGTTGCTATACTCTGAATCACTGATGACTTGTGAATGTTTACATTGGTGATTGTTTATAGCTTATTGCCTAGAACTTTAATTAACATGATAAATAAAAACAGCTACACTAGTCTTGTTATATTTGTCAGATGTTCATCTGTCTTTTATCTTTGTGTCTCATGTTTATCTGTGTCGCATGTTTATCTGTGTATCATGTTTATCTGTGTGACACAAAAACACATTCTAATAACATCACACTCAGATAACAGATGTTTATCTGTGTGTGATGGTTATCTGTGTGTGATATTGATCTCTGTTTTATGTTTATCTCTGTGTGATGTTTATCTTTGTCCGATGTTTATCTGTATGTGATGTTTCTCTGTGTGATGTTTATCTCTGTCTGATGTTTATCTGTATGTGGTGTTTATCTGTGTCTGTCATTTATCTTTGATATTTATTTATATCTTATGTTATCTGTGTGTGATGTTTATCTGTGTGTGATGTTTATCTGTGTGTGATATTGATCTCTGTTTGATGTTTATCTCTGTGTGATGTTTATCTTTGTCTGATGTTTATCTGTATGTGATGTTTATCTGTGTCTGTCATTTATCTTTGATATTTATTTATATCTTATGTTATCCCTGTGTGACGTTTATCTCTGTCTGATGTTTATCTCTGTCTGATGTTTATCTGTATGTGATGTTTCTCTGTGTGATGTTTATCTCTGTCTGATGTTTATCTGTATGTGATGTTTATCTGTATGTGATGTTTATCTGTATGTGATGTTTATCTCTGTGTGATGTTTATCTGTTTGTGATGTTTATCTGTGTCTGTCATTTATCTGATATTTATTTATATCTTATGTTATCTCTGTGTGATGTTCATCTCTGTGTGATGTTTAACTCTGTGTGATGTTTATCTGAATGTGATGTTTATCTGTGTCCATCATTTATCTTTGATATTTAATTATATCTTATGTTATCTCTGTGTGAAGTTCATCTCTGTGTGATGTTTACCTCTGTGTGATGTTTATCTGAATGTGATGTTTATCTGTGTCCGTCATTTATCTTTGATATTTATTTATATCTTATGTTATCTCTGTGTGAAGTTTATCTTTGTCTAATGTTTATCTTTGTCTGATGTTTATCTCTGTGTGATGTTTATCTGTGTCTGTCATTTATCTTTGATATTTATTCATATCTTATGTTATCTCTGTGTGATGTTTATCTCTGTGTGATGCTTATCTCTGTGTGATGTTTATCTTTGTCTGATGTTTATCTGTATGTGATGTTTATCTGTGTCTGTCATTTATCTTTGACATTTATTTATATCTTATGTTATCCCTGTGTGACGTTTATCTCTGTGTGATGATTATCTCTGTCTGATGTTTATCTGTATGTGATGTTTCTCTGTGTCTGTCATTTATCTTTGATATTTATTTATATCTTATGTTATCCCTGTGTGACGTTTATCTCTGTGTGATGTTTATCTCTGTCTGATGTTTATCTGTATGTGATGTTTCTCTGTGTCTGTCATTTATCTTTGATATTTATTTATATCTTATGTTATCTCTGTGTGATGTTCATCTCTGTGTGATGTTTAACTCTGTGTGATGTTTATCTGAATATGATGTTTATCTGTGTCCATCATTTATCTTTGATATTTATTTATATCTTATGTTATCTCTGTGTGAAGTTTATCTTTGTCTAATGTTTATCTTTGTCTGATGTTTATCTCTGTGTGATGTTTATCTGTGTCTGTCATTTATCTTTGATATTTATTCATATCTTATGTTATCTTTATGTGATGTTTATCTCTGTGTGATCTTTATCTCTGTGTGATGTTTATCTTTGTCTGTCATTTATCTTTGATATTTATTTATATCTTATGTTATCTCTGTGTGATGTTTATCTCTGTGTGATGTTCATCTCTGTGTGATGCTTATCTCTGTGTGATGTTTATCTTTGTCTGATGTTTATCTCTGTGTGATGTTTATCTCTGTGTGATGTTTATCTTTGTCTGATGTTTATCTTTGTCTGATGTTTGTATATGGTGTTCATCTGTGTTGGATGTTTATATTTTTAGTTTAGATTAGAAATCAAATATATTTAGATTTTGTTGCTGTCAGCTGCTTATTAGAAACAATGTTTTGCAGGTTTCCTCCTAATGTATTAGTGCTTCAACTGCTTTTAACTGCTTGTGAAAAACTAAGAGTAAAATCACTTCATAGTCCAAATACAATGTTATTCTATAAACTTCCTAAACTAAAATATTCCATGTGACTCTTTTTTTATTTACAAAAACTAGATTCACCACACTTGTTCATGGCTAGTTATTAATGCAGAGTTGAATATATACCCAGACAAATGTCTGTTCCTTAAGTACATTATGCAGTTTTGTTTGAAAAATGGTGAGTTATTGTACTCTAGAGGGAGGCCTCATTGGGATGCCTCGTTCAATCAAGCAACAAATCATACTATTTCTAATTCAGCTGTGGTCAGACATCCGTAGAATTGATTCCATTGGTTCCATGTCTAGATGATAACCTAAGGAAATCTGGTTGAATCTTTGCTAGCCTAAAGTCTGATGAAAATGGTTGATTTTATGCTAATCTAGGTGAAAGCTTTACTGGCCTGAAAGGTCTAACACAGAATTTACAAGGCTCAAAGGCTCGGCCTTTAAAGTAGTGGTAGTATTTGGTTGATGCTGTCTGCTATGACTTGATTTTACGCCTTATTAGAGTAATAGAATTAACATTGTTCTTTCAGAAGCACCAGGCTTTTCTTTTAACCAGAGTTTATAGTTTTGTTATCTTTTCCGTTCTTTATGTCATCTTTTAACAACTATGAGCTAGATTTCTCACTTTATATTGATAATGTGGGGCACATACTTGGTGTCTTGTTTACTTTGTATTGATAATGTGGGGCTCATACTTGGTGTCTTGTTTACTTTGTATTGATAATGTGGGGCTCATACTTGGTGTCTTGTTTACTTTGTATTGATAATGTGGGGCTCATACTTGGTGTCTTGTTTACTTTGTATTGATAATGTGGGGCTCATACTTGGTGTCTTGTTTACTTTGTATTGATAATGTGGGGCTCATACTTGGTGTCTTGTTTACTTTGTATTGATAATGTGGGGCTCATACTTGGTGTCTTGTTTACTTTGTATTGATAATGTGGGGCTCATACTTGGTGTCTTGTTTACTTTGTATTGATAATGTGGGGCTCATACTTGGTGTCTTGTTTACTTTGTATTGATAATGTGGGGCTCATACTTGGTGTCTTGTTTACTTTGTATTGATAATGTGGGGCTCATACTTGGTGTCTTGTTTACTTTGTATTGATAATGTGGGGCTCATACTTGGTGTCTTGTTTACTTTGTATTGATAATGTGGGGCTCATACTTGGTGTCTTGTTTACTTTGTATTGATAATGTGGGGCTCATACTTGGTGTCTTGTTTACTTTGTATTGATAATGTGGGGCTCATACTTGGTGTCTTGTTTACTTTGTATTGATAATGTGGGGCTCATACTTGGTGTCTTGTTCACTTCTCTGGTTTGGTTTGTCTTTGAATCGTTTCGGCTCAATAGAAATGTTTTGTTGCTATATTACCTATTATCATAAACATTTTGTTGATTTACCTCTGTATTTTAATCATTATCATTGTTCTGTTGGTTATATAATTCTCTCTTATTATTATCAATTGCTTGAAGTTTTTATATATCTCACTCTTATTAGTTATTTTATCAATTATTAACATTTTGTTGGTTTTATTTGTCTTAAGTTATCAATATTTAGTTGTAAATTTGCACTTATACATCAAACAATAAGATATTTTAATCAATTTAATGAGTACTGCATCAGTTTCGGTCAACTGGGTAAATATTAAGAGAGTATATATATATCAACACTTTATGTCTGTTGGGAGTAATTTTGTAGAGTTTGTGTACAAATGTATTAAGTCCATATATCAATACCTATATATCTTAAGAGAGTAAATGGTATACAGATCTAGAGTTGCATATATCTATAAAACAAAAATATACAGGATCATGAATCAATATCTGTGTGTCTATAAAATGAAATATACAGATTTCATGAATAAATATATATAAGTCTATAAAGTAACAATATACAGCTTTCTTTAATCAATATCTATCTTTAAAATACCAAAATACAAATTTCATAAATTAATATCTATATGTCTATTAAATAAAGATATACAGATTTCTTGATCAATATCTCTCTGTCTATAGAATAAAAAACATACAAATTTGATTTGTATAAAGATGTCGTATATTAACATCTTCATATTTAAAGTTCGTAAATTTCATGTATAGACATATCCATCTATACAGAGTATATCCCATCTTTATCATCTGCCATCTGTCACATCCTCTGATATTCTTACAAAAAAGACACATTTTAGCATTTAATTTAAATAGGAGATTTAATTTTTCAGTTATGTATTTAAATAACCAATCTTTAACTTCCATGGGTGATACAGTATTCTATATAGAGTTTTAAATATTTTTAAATCAGTTAAGAAAAAGGAAGAAGGTAAGAATTACACAAATGTTTTATTTATTTATTTATTTATTTGTTTTCCTGTTTTCATACTCACAAAGCTGTACTGACAGAAACATTTCAATGTATTCAAGATAAATCATGATTGGAAACAATCTTGTTCAAAAATGATGATTTTAATTTTAATAAATTTATGTATTTACCAGCTTCACACAGCTATATTTCTCTGTGTAATATAGTGTATGTGGTGCATACTTTGTGTTAAAAACACAATTATGTAACTCAAAACTGAATTACATAATCTTATACTTCATAATCAAGATCTGATCAAATATTGTATATTACTCCTATATATGACTTTGAAATATTTCTGTTGTACGGCAGACTATTTTAATATGGAAATGAAAAGTAAAAATCCATCTTTTTTGTATTTGTTTTTCATTAACAAATGGTATAACTTATTTTTGTTCTTGAGTTAGGAAGAAAGGTTGAAAATTACCATAGGATGATAATTAGTTAGTATTTCCAACTTAAACATGTAAATGTTGCTACTATATGTTATTGATGGCATACATCAATCCTTTAGAATGTGATTAACTAGAACTGAACTTGAAAGATATTCTTAGAATGGGTTAAAGTTGCATGATAATCTGTGTTAAAAAATAACAAAATTACTTAATGAAAAACAATAAACAGAAAGTGTCACAGAGTTCCAATATTGTATCATTGAAATTAGACTTTTTGATTATCTTTTACTCAGACCTGAAACAGTAATACCTTAAGTAAACTTTAGATCTCGGATCTCTATTCAAAATATGGTTTGTGGAGAACAAGAAGGAGTTAAATATTAGGAAAAATTGCGAGTGAAAATTGATCTTAATTGGAATGAAGTCTTTACAAAAATTATTATTCATAAAATGTATTTGCCACCTTATTAATTTAACACTATTTTATGTTTAATTTAAATTAAGTGATAAACACATTTTATCATCAAACAGCAATAATGTAATTGCACTATCTATATAATGAATGTAATACTGAAGAAGAAAGGACAGTACCTTTCTACACATAAATATACTGGCTAATTTGTACAACATGGTGCACATTCCTTTCCAACATGGGTGCCAAATATGTATTTTGATAACTCATGTACTAATAAAAAATGCAAGTCATATAAGACCCACCAGTCATCATGTGTGAATTGAGAAACATAACTGTCTTTTGTTAACTACACACAAAAGATATTTTTAAGATCCTACAAGCATTATGCCCCCTTGATTATTTAGTTTTGTCCCAATTTCCCTATTAACACTTAATTAAACTGTTATTAATAATTTTGTGTTGACACCAACATTTGAAATGTCTAAACTTTAATGTTTGTGACTTTCTTTATTAACTGTTAAAGGGTTACATGTAACTTAACAACAACCTTGACATTGAGGTGAACCAATGGAGATAAGGCTATTCCTATAGTCAGTATATATAAAGTATACACAGTGTATTATATATTGTATAGTATTACATAGAATAATTCTTACAAATGTAACATAAAGGTGAGAATAAAACCCTTTCAGTTTTGCAGCATTGATGACAGGCTGCCAGACTTTCGGATGTTTTTAAAGTTTATTTGAACCACTGCTATAGATGTACTGTTGCTTTAATTGATTAAAAAATGGTTGAGCATTTTCCTCTGTCAAATGTATTTGGACTGTAAAAGGTTATATATTTACATTTGCATGGCATTGTCACTATATAGCCTCTTTGAAAGCTGTGTCGTTGATGGGACTTTAATTACCATGCCGCACGAGACACAATTCTTAGCGTATTAATTACAACACTGACCGGAACTACACTATCCAATGTAAATAAACATGACGGCTGCTGAAATATCGCTGGGCATTGTGAGATTTGATAATGTCATTGTAAATTTATGTGCAAAATAAAAAATAAAATAAAAAACACTTTTATTACAACGAAAACAAGACCAAGGTCTGCAATATCGTACAAAATGCACATCGGTTGAAATCACCAATGCCGGCAATGGAAACAATTTTAACGCTCATGCAATTTATCAGAAATATCGTCTGTTACACTGCACTGATCAACAGGGGTTCGTTATAAATGTCTGAAATACACATATTCTATAGACCTACTGACACATATGTTACAGACCTACTGATATGAGTCACAGAACACACAAACATTCGTCATTTCAGACATTTGTAACGAACCTGTGCTCCGTCGCAAGATCACTCACTTCAAACGCTATCAGTTTCACGCGTCTCGGATCCACGGTTCCTCAGTTTCAGACGACATGTCAAATAACGATGCTGTTATAGAATCTACCGACTGTTGTCGGGTTCCCATACAATCAACAAATACATTCACGCCTGGATTCTTCACAAAATGAGCAAGGAGAAAAGTTCAAATTAACTTCCAAAAATAACTCCCTCGTGGAGGTCAAGGTCCCATTCACGGTGTTCACTGTATTTATCCATGCGTGAAATTTGTTCCGGGGGAAAATCGAAACAATTTCAAATCTAACTTTCAGCTCAGATTTCTATTGAAAAACTGGAATCACCTTATAGACATATCATACGCAATTGTATTGATACTGAATTGTGGAATAAATTTGAAGTGTTTGTTAAGTCTATGTCTGTCTATTCTTCTACTTTGATATTAACAATGTTCAAATGAGTTGGGTTTGTCATCGGCTAAAGCACTAATGTGTGGAAGTCCTCCATGCTGTCAGCGTCTATATATTCGTTCATGTCCACTTTTCCTCTTTGCTTGTGACATATTAATTGTCAGCTAGTCCGTTAATGATTTTGTAGTCCAAAATATTACTGCTGAAAATCTTTACTTGGAATTCTAGTTCTCATTCTCACTCTGAACACATTTTGGTGTTCTGATTTTTAAAAACAAATCACCGATTGTTTATTTTGAGCTGAAAGGATGTATATCAATTTATATTTTTGTGAGTTAATATGTTATTATCTTTTATTGCAAGCATCTCCCATTAATCTTACATTAAAAAGACTTTTTGAAAAGTAAAATAACATGCTTTACATGTTTCCTCTCTACAGAAGGACAACTAAATATCTGGACTTATGCTGTCATCGCTGTGGGCACAATATTTGTGATATTTGTCACAGTTGCCCTCTACAACATGAGGTAAGTGATGATTTCTCATATTTTATTAATATTTTTTCATATTTTTATTTATTTAATATTTTTTTGGCATTTCTGCATTTACTTACAATGTAGATTTTATATTAGCTTAATGTCTGACCTATGCTTGTTTTATGCAATACAATGTATATATATATATATATATCTTTTTTCTTTGATTGCTAATTCCTTATTTATTTCTAGAATTGTTTTGTAAAATATTGATTATTATCACCCTTGTCTGTCTGTAAATACATGTATTAATAATTATCTCCTTTGTCTGTCTGTAAATACATGTATGAATAATTATCTCCCTTGTCTGTCTGTAAATACATGAATTAATAATTATCTCCCTTGTCTATCTGTAAATACATGTATTAATAATTATCTCCCTTGTCTGTCTGTAAATACATGCATTAATAATTATCTCCCTTGTCTGTTTTTGAATATCACCTATTGTCTCCCTTGCCTGGTTGTTATATGTTATCATATTTCTTTTCTATATCTTCTTTACTTCTGTATAAATATCTTTTTTCGCTTCAAATTCAGTTTTAGGATTGATTTAGATATATGAAAGGATAATTGATCTAAGCTTAATAGTTAAATTGTTTAAATGACTTATCTAATAAAAATGTTATCATGAAGGGATATTTTCTCATTTGCCATACCTTACAGATAATATTAAAATAAAACTGATTTAACTGAACAAAACATCATGCAGCAATCACTAATGCTATGTTGGCCAACTGTACATGAACTGATATTGCCCAGGTGATTGTTAACTATGACTAGCACAATAATATAGCTAGTTTATACTTACAGTGCTAACTCATTTTCTATAAGGAAAAGTAAGGAATGTAAGAAATTAGAATATATTAAAAGAAATCTGCCAAAGAGGTAAAGATGATTTTCCAATGAAGATGTTAACTTGTGTTTTATAAACCATTAAATAAAAAGTTCCTGTGTTGACATATAGTTATCTCCCTTTTAGTTCAGTGTAGTGCGATAAAGATAGACATGATAACATTGCAGCATCGTAACAGCTATAGTGATATAATTAGTGTTGTAAATTTGGTCTCATGAAATAGTTGTAGTATAATTTATAGGTAGGGACATAGCTGTAGTAAAGTAGGCTTGTCACTTAGTTGTGGTATTATGACATATTGGCTCCACATACAGATATAGTCCTTTATATTGTCTCAAATGTGTCCTTCTCCCTGTAAATAATTTATAGATGGCTGAACCTCTTATTGCTTAGCTAGTCAGCGCTTTCTAAGTTTTACATAATTAATTATCAATTTCCATTAAAACCAGTAATTCAACCACATTTAAGGCAGTTTATAACAGATTTATTCATTTACCGAATTAAAAAATGAATTGATTTATCAAATATATATTTAAACATTTTGTTATGCAGATCATTTTTAAGAAAAGTAATACACAATCACCAACTCATATTTTTTCCACTGTATTACTTTAATAGGATTCCTGCCTTGCTATGCTCTTTTAGAACAGACTTTTTAATGAGTTTTTAAATAAAACATCCAGAGTTATTGGTTTCCCTATTAACATTTCATTATAAAGCATTAAATCTGTATTCTTCATATTTAAATTAAATCTACGTAAAATCTTTCTAATAAAGGTTAAAGTTGGAAATATGTAGTTTTGTTTCCCGATCTACGTTAAGATCTCTTTATTATAATAAGAAAAGTTGAACATGTTTTTAGATTTGAAGGTGGTATTAGATTGTAGAAGACTGCTGAACAGTTCATTAAGGGGTATCTTGGCTATTAACACACACCTTTCTCCTCTCTGTACATCTTCTTAGAGGTATGGGCTGCTCATTGTAGAAGTTGATATAATTCAATTTACAAATATTCAGATAAAGCAAAATGGTAGTAAATAGGACCATATCATGGTTAGTTATCAAGATTTAAATAACCGTTCTGATATTTGTAATAGACAGTTAAAATACAAGTTTGCAAAGTTTAACTTAATTGATGTGAAAAAAAGAATTAGGAGGTTAGATACTATCGTAGCATCGATCACATTTAGTTTGCAGTAGAATTGCAGTAGTTATTAGTATGCTTCAATACTTTATTTTATGCATTTCCTTAAATTATACATATATGTGAAATATTACCTATGTTTTATCTTGAATGTGTTTATTATTTCGTATTGGGTATATTGTAGATATACTCTCAGTAATTATACTTTTGTTGTTCAATTTTGTTTAGTTTGGTCAGTATATGTGCTGTATACATCATTAGGTGACCCTGCTACCCTGACTATATATTTAGATATGACCCCTGACATATAGTCCAGTATCATTTTAGCCTATTCGTGGTAGTTTTGTGATATATACATTTTTGCCATATCGCTCTGCATTACTGCTTCTGCTTTATAATGGTCACAAATTTCAATTTCAAAATATAATAATATACACAAAATGTTTTTAAAATATTCTGACCCTTTTTGGAAAAATAACCAAAACTGATATGAATTAATTACAATTTCAAAATATTCGAATATAATGGTATGCCATTCAAGTTCAAGATATATAGTTAACAACATACGTAATTATCAGTACTGGTGCGTATGAACTGATCAACCGATCTGTTGATTTTGTTTAGGCTGCAGTTTTGTGTTTATGGCATTAAACCTGATCAATTGAATATACTAATGATTGTCAAATACTTTTTGAATTAATACAGACAGCGTAGAATCAGGTGAGGTAATTGGTTGTCACAGATGTATACAGTACACCATTCTGCTTCATTTTTTGTGTTTTTAATGTTTGTGGTCTATTTCTCTCTCTGCTTCTTTCTGTACAGTGATTTCTTGCACTACGGCCCTCGCCCCCGGAATCAAGGCAGTCTAGACAGACTAGACAGTGCCAGTAATACCGGCTCGACTTCCCGAAACAACCCGGATGGGCTCACAACTCCAGATAACTGCAGTGTTTGTAAATCAATCCCTTCTCCAATAGACACCTTGCCAAACGATCGAATGATGGAGACAAAGTGCAACATGAGTGTAGGTTCATATGTTCAGGCCAAAGATAACCACGGGGAATGCAATAGCCTGTCGCAAATACTGACCCACGTTTGTCCCTGCACTTCCGCTTCCTCCAACACCCCTTCTGACAAAGATTTGCATGATTGTAAAAATGAGACCATCGTCAAAATGCCGATAGTCCTTCCTGAGCATGTTGGCATGTCCACAGATAATAACTGCATGCAAGCTTCTCCGTGTGAAATGTCGTCTGCATCTACCATATCACCTCGATCTGTCCATCAATTTCCCATCAGGTCAGACTCGGAACAGTCGGATGGCATGCACAGTTTCTTTCCAAAATGTCATAGTTATCCGTATCGTGGAAGGACAAATTCAGATTCTGCCTTGTCTACGTCAGTGACGACTGCATCTGTGACAGGGACGTCTGTGTCGTCATATCCTATGGGCAAAGCCGCAGAAAATAATGATGCCTCAGCGAACGTTCCGGATACTGTTTCGATACCTTCAAATGACGACCTTACAAAGCCATTTACATCCTCGTCGTTGAAATCGTTGATGGAGACTAGTGAATTTCCACCTAAAAATATCACTATGGAAAGTCTAAATGTACTTGTTGAAGATTTTACAAGGAAGATAGACTCCTTATCTAGAGATGAGAGGCCTTATGATATGCTTTTGTACTCAATCCCGGATAGAAGACAAGGTTGTAGTTTTGACCAAAGCACGACTGTATCTACCTCTCCGTCTGACGTTGAGTCGGACACGGAAAACGATCCCCTGCTGTCGGATCCGTCTCCAGACCAACCGTCCAAAGTGTATCCATCCCTAGAATCAGAGGCTGTCCCTCTGCTACATAATGACAACAATAATAACGATAACTCGGTCAAGAATGATATACCACTAGCGGATTGTAGCAGTATCTATAGCAACAAAAGTTCAATTGACTATTCAACCAACGAAACTGAGTCGGACAGCGGAAGTGATAGACTGTACATGTGTAAATCACGTGATCGTGGTGCACCGAGACGATTGACAACAATATGGAACGGCGGTGCACGAAAGGAGCCTGATGACTTTCAGCAGCCACATCAAAATCAACCAAAAGGTGAAAGTGAATCTCCAAAAGTGGAGGTAGTTCGACCTGGTCGGCCGAAGTTGAAGCGCCAGACAAAACTACAACATCCATTAGAAGCTGCTCAAGTCGATTCAGGAGTAATCGCAGACACTTGCTCGGCATCCAGTGCTAATCCTAGCATTAGAGAGGATTCCTCCCCTGTGCTCAAAGACAAGCCACGGAAGGCTAAGAAATTGCATAAATTACAGAAAAGGAATTCCGACACGCGTAGCAGAGGTAGTTCCTCACCGTCATCTCGCAGGAGTAGGTCTCTGCCACGAGCCGTAGCGGACAATCACGTCAGTAAAGACGGAAACAAGACCACCAGTTCTAACGATATGTCCGATGCCCCTGGTAGTGAGCGCACATGGAAAGAAACTATTTTATAAGAATTTGTTTAGGGAAAATGCAAATCGCTATTGTGACAAGTTTCCTCCAAAAACACTCTCATTACCTGTAACCATTTCAACATTAATTGTTATGACCCAAGAGAAATAAATTGAACGTATTTTTAATAATATATATTTGATATTACATCCCTTTCATATATCCGTTTTATCTTTTTAATAATGTTTTTGATGTCTTCAGTCATGGTTGTCGGAATGAGAGAGTTTGCTAGATCCCAATTAAGTATCCCGTGTTCATAATTGAATGTTGGCATGCGTATTTTTGTGTTATCTGTTGTATGCCATGTTTGTTTTTAAGTTGTTCGTAGCTTCTTTATTTGAAAACTTTCTATTCATAAAAGTAATGCCTAAAGTAATGTTAAAGAGTTATTTTTAATTGAAAATTGAAACTTAATTTCATACACATTTCTTTTCTGCTTTGGCTCGTTGAAACAATACCCCGTAGTATATATATATTGTTAGGTAATCTGTTGTATAATGTGACTTAGAGTTATGAAAGATACATTGTTATTTTTCAAAGTAATTATATATCTTCCGTGAACACACCTCGATAGTTTCCAGCAAGTGCGGTGGTTGGCAGAGAAACTTCGAGATAATTCAAATACTAGCTTCATTTGTTATTGATTTAAGATTGCAATAGGTCAAGAAACTTTTAAGTAAGCATGTTAAATATCATTAATATGATTTGGTATTTGCAATACCTATTTGCTCAACTGGTGTACCTGTTAGACTCATGTACCTGTCAGTAACGTCCCAGTTTTGTTTTCATATCACAATATCTCAACATATGTGTTAATGAATTGATTCCATTGCTCAATTTTTATCATTTTTATGTTGTATATATTTTTATAGGTTGGAGAATTGATGAACAAATTCTAAACAGATTTTTATCACAAGTGTAAAGATCGTCTTATTCCTAGATTTGACCTTGTTAAACTTGAAAATATGCAAGGGTAATACTGTTGTTTAAGATTTTCAATCTTTGTATTTAGATGCTTAATGGATATCCGATGTAATTCTAAACAATAATTAATAGGCGCTAGTGGACATATAAACCTACCATCTGCAAGGTATGTAACTAGTGAATGTTTTTATCACTAAAAGTTTTGATAGGATATAACAATAAAGGCAGTTGTTTATGGTTTATTATTTGAATATTTATGTATTATTAAGTGTAACATAACACGATGTCGAGATAGAATTAGGTTGAAATGTATTGAGTTTCGTTTATGTTATTAGTACTCTTTGATATGAATCCATATTGTCCATCGAAAAAGAAATCTAAAAATAAATGATAAAAGACCTGTCCGTATTGATCATTACTGATTTGATATACATTCAGGAGAATATAGGAATAAAGATGATGATTAGCAAAAACATTTTATTTTTTTTTGAATTTTAGAGAGAAATTAGAATAGAAAGGACGAATAAAGAAGCAGCCTTTTGAAGATCGATGCTCGCTCATATAGTCAATAATGAACTATACATTATAGAATCACGTGCAAGAATATGGGGGATTAACAACTCTATAGTTAGATTCATAGTAACGCCTTTTACAGACAGTAAAACCTGTTTTATCAGACTTGATCAAGAAATATTTTCGCAGTCTCGCGTTTTTTCCAAACAAATCTTCATTGTAATGCTTTAATTTGTTGCATGATTCAATCCCGAGCATGCTGAATAACCATTGCTTCATTTGCCTGCTTCTGATCCTAATAAACAAAAACACTGTATGGTCTCATACTTATGGAATTTTACCGCCTGCTTAAATCATAGATTTGATGCATTTTAAGAATAACACTCATTTAAATAGTTGCTGTGTTACTTTTGGCATCAATTATTCTTGAAATGAATATCCATGCGTCCTGTTTTTAGATGTACGGTATCTGATCAGGTTTGGAGGACATAATCGATACTGAGAAATTGCGTTGTTTTATTCAACAGGTTTCCGTAATTTAAATCTACAGCCTCTGTAGTTTCAGGTATTATTCGATGGTCGTGTTGTAAATATAACTGGCTTTGTCAGTATCAATCTGAAATCGGTTTAGTGGGATTAAATTCACTCTATTGTCACGCTATGATTTTGCAATGGCGTTACAGCTATAATCAGTTGTGCAGTGATCCCTCTTAGTCGCGCTACAGATGTGCTATATTTTTGTTAGTGGAGATTGATTTACGTAAATCATCGTGCATATCAAGATTTGTGTAATTATTGCTCTCAAAACGTTATATATGTATGTATATGTTAATGTCAAGTTACCTATGTTCACATCTTGTAAACATCAAACATATTTTATGTTAGAAACGTAATATTAAGTGACGTCCTACTTACATCTCACTTATTGTGTGGCGGCGTTATAAAGTGGTACCCAATGCTGTTTTAAACCAGTTCAGCTGCTTTTAAAAGCCGTTAGATTCACGGTTTGATGTTCTGAAAACAATAATGAGCAACACAATATTTTACTTTCGGAAGACATAACTTGAGTTTTATCTGATGTAAATGTTTGTTGATGAAAATATATTTAGTTTTAAATATATATCGTTGTTGCTAATGAACGTTTAACCAAGCACACCTTGGCCATGGTAAAAGCTGAGGTTGTGTAAAAAAGCTGAGGATATGTAATCATCACTCCGTATTGTATGTAAATAGTCATTGTTTTCGAAATCATTTTGATATTCCTGTTTATTTCATACAGTGAAGTAGATATGTATGTTTTGTTTCATCATATTATTCTCCCCATACGTAGGTCATGTGATTTGTAAGTACATCTATCAGTATTACTTGGTACTTTGTCAACAGAATGCTACATTGTACGTGCTGTAAGAGGACTCTTAATGAACAAAAAATGGCCGGTACATTTCCGTTGACAATTGAACGTATTTGTTGCAAGTAGAAAAAGACTTGCAAGTCTTGTCAGGTGGTTGTGTTGGAACTGTAACACGAACAATTCGTTTAAAAATAAATAACATTGATTCAATTATCTTTTCCTCTTTGTTGTCAAAGGGTTTGTTTTACTAGAATGAACAGGTTAAATGGTATCCACATGACGGTTATTTTACTAGAATGAACAGGTTAAAGGGTATCTACATGACGGTTGTTTTCCTAGAATCAACAGGTTAAAGGGTATCTACATGACGGTTGTTTCACTAGAATCAACAGGTTAAATGGTATCTACATGACGGTTGTTTTACTAGAATGAGCAGGTAAAAGGGTATCCTCATGACGGTTGTTTTACTAGAATCAACAAGTTAAATGGTATCCCCATGACGTTTGTTTTACTAGAATGAACAGGTTAACTGGTATGTACATGACGGTTGTTTTACTAGAATTAACAGGTTAAATGGTATCCACATGACGGCTGTTTTACTAGAATGAACAGGTAAAAGGGTATCTACATGACGGTTGTATTACTAGAACGAACAGGTTAAATGGTATCTACATGCCTGTTGTTTTACTAGAATCAACAGGTAAAAGGGTATCCACATGACGGTTGTTT